GAGGCTATGGTTCCCCTTTTCCAGACAAGGGCAACTCCACTGAATGACTTCTCAAATACAATGGAAAGGGGCTTACCAACTTCAAATGTCAGTTTCCTCAGGACCTGCAGATGCATCTCTTCAGGTCCAATGGACTTGTGCACCTACAAGTTCCTTAGATGGTCTTGAACATGATCATCTTCTACAGTGAGGGTTCATTCTCCCTGTCCCTGCCTTTGCCTTCTGCATTTGTAACTTACAAAGTATTCTTCAGTTACATGAGATTGTACTTAGGAAATGAAAACAATGGGTCTTCTTCAATAAACAAAGAACATAGTTCAGATTTGCTCCCCAGGTGATGGCCCCTTTTTGGTGCTCAATACATCTGAAGAAGCCAGAATTCGATAGCAGCTGCCAAAATGAGAACTCTCCCAACAAAGCCAAAGCAGGAGGAACTCACATAGTGAAAACCAGTGAAGCTTACACACTTGCCAATACCTTCTCTGACATCCCCACAAACACTTCAGGATGTCAAGAAATGAAAGGGTCAAATTTATTTTCCCCAGTGGCTTCTGATCTCTTATCCAGCTGTTGTAAACTACAGCAGTTGATAGACCATTCTAATGCATTTTGGGCCAGAAGAATTCTAGCCTGAAAATCAGCCATAGATGTTGGCAGCAAAAATGAAAAGTCAGTTTCTTTGAAAACCTCAATGTTTCTAATTGAACTGAAAATATCTCTCACCAAATTGTCCTAGTTATATAATCTCATTCTAATATGTCAGTAAATGACACACAATTGCTTTGAACCCTTCCATCTTTTCTAGTTTGTGTCTAGTAGCAGAAATTTTTCCAGCTATACTATTCAGCTTCAGAAGTAGGATAAAAAAAAAAAATCTTATGCTTTCTGGCTAATTCTCTGAGAATATCAACGATGTAATAGGACAACTTTTGAGCAGGTCACAAGAGAACCTCTGTATTTTTATAAAAGTATCTTGAAACTCATTAATGAAAGTATTTACCACTCATGACATAATGACACAACTTTAATTCCTGAGATTTTATGGAAAAAAAAAACATACTCACAATTTCATACATTATTATTATTACCATGTATTAAGACAATAGTCAAAGGAAAGACTGTTTTGTTTTAAGACAACAGAGTAGCAAATACACACTTAATTCCCAGTTTTCTGCTTAACTCTTTCAACAAGCTTTGTAAAAGCCCTGGTCCTCAAGTTCCCACTCACAAAATCATTAGCATAATCACCCATTTTACAGATGGGCTTTCTAAATAGACGTTAAAATCCTACAGTAATAATGGTAATACAAGAAGTCATATAAAAAAAAACTGTGACGTTAAATTGAAGGACAAAACCAGGAAACAAAAAAAGATATTCTATAGAACGTGTATTCTGTTCTACAGAATATTTTTTAGCATAGTTTAAATGTTTATAATATAGCTTCACTACACTTTTCTAAATAATTTTGAAACATTAGCCTTACAGAAGTTCCCTTTGGTTTAGTTCATCAAACAAGAGGGAAAAAATAATTCTTTCATATGAAAATGCTTTCTGCAACAGTGATGCAATTTGGTGCCTTTTTTCGGTTTTAACTCTTTACTTAAGCACTCAGTCATAATCACTAAGCATTGTTCCAGAATTGTGGGGAAACGCAAAATGGAGGAAGCTGTAGAATCCCTTTCAGCACTCTCACACACACTGGTGAGCAAACCCACTTTCCTCTGGAAAGGGGAGGATTGTGGTTTTTCCAGTTTGATGATGAACACTCTTCGCTGACTGCTATTAGGTCATGCTTTCTAGAGGCAGATCCGCACAGCTCATGACTGCACTTCTGAACAAGCAGGAATACTGTTTTTGGAAAAAATAACCAATTACTGGCATTTTGAAAAAGTAACTCAGAGGTAGGTAGTTTTTAACTTTCCTCTAACCTCAGCCCTCATTTCAAATATCACACTGTCACTCCACAATAGTCTCAGCATGATTCTCAGGAACAAGAAACAGACAAGTAAGAGTAGTCAGAACAAGATTGTTTCCCCTATCTGCCTTCATCCTTGGTTCTGAAAAGCTTCTGTTAGATGGAAAGTTAAACTGTTACATTCCTCAGATTCATCTCTTTATGATCTCACATGCATTTTGTAATTTGGAGAATCTTCTCAGTGTATAAAGAAATATATGTGGGAGTCTTTGTTAAAACATAGGCAGGCTTCTATTGCCTTATGGTTTGGCATTTCATATTGCTTTTGAAGTTATGTTTCAAGATACAGTATATATTTGAAAGTTCCTAAAATAGTACCAGACTCTGAAACCATGGTTTTGTTTAGAAGTCTAGTAGGAGACTAAAAGAATCCAAAACATTAACTACTTTTAGATTTCAGTTATAAATACTAGTACAATTTAGATATTAAACCAATATAAAATAGTAACAAAGGTTCACTTTTTAATTAATTCCCATCTCAGGAAATCAAGTTTTAAATTGTATTTTTACAGTGTATTTTGTATTTTTTTTTACATATTAGTAAAAAATGCATTTTCAAAGTTCCAGATTTAAAATCCTAACTAATCATGACATAGAATTAGTCTATTTCTGGCTACAAAAAGCAAGCCTTGTTCTCATTATGCAGTAAGTACTAGCTGTTTATAGATCTGACAGTTTGTTGGATGTGATCCAAACCTATAGTGCTATTATTCCTTAGTAAAATTTAAACAGCTGCAGTCTTGTAATTCAAAACCCTGCAAGTCTGCTGCAGTGCTTGTTCTACTTCAGTATACCATGAATGCAGGATGCAGCCAGTTATATAAAGGATTCTCTTCTTCACAGAATGAAAGAAAGATGTGAACTACAAACCTGAATGCAACCTGAAAGGTCCAAACAGATGAGTTTGTGACAGCCTTTTCCAGAGCCCAGGTACAGTAAACCTTTGTCTGTGAATTTTCTGCAGTGAGCTAAACTCAGATACTGTAAATTGGGGAAGCTGCTTTGCAAGAAAAAGAAAACAGAGAACAAATTATTACAAGGGCATGTTACAGAATCAAAAAGAACATAAAATGCCATAGCTTAAGTAATCTGAAAATCACTGTGAAGAAAAGATGTTTGATATGAAATAGAATTATCTTCTTGCTGAAGTTTCAAAGACCCTTTCTTCTGTTGCACTTTTTCCTCTGCTGCTTGTATTGCAAATTACTGGGGAATAGCTCTATCATACAACATATTACGCCATACGAAAACAGTATCATTTTAAAGTTATCTCAAATTATTGCAAAAGCATATTTTTTTCATTAACTGGGATTTTTGTATGCATACTTTGAAAGCTGATAGACTTTTCAGTATAAATTTGTTGGACTGTCTTTGCCATTGGTTTTACAAGCAGTGCCTGCTGGAAATGAAAACCAGAGCTCTATCAAAGTATGTTAAAAGCATAAATGTACAGTTAGAGCTTCTCAAGTCATATAATTATTTAGAAGACCACTATTAAAAGAATCTGAAAAACTGAGAAGTACACAAAAGAGAATTGTGCAAAAATAAAACGTCCAATGTTAGGGTTTGATCAGTTCTTTTGGAAAACATTTCTTTATGCTGAACATCAGTTAAAAGAAACTGTGTAAGTGGAAACTGTTAATCAACAGCATTCTGTAAAAGCAAGAATCTATACTCTAAATATACTCGAGTTTCCATCTGCAGCTTTGGTTTGTAACACAGTGAAAACTACTCATTTTACTGAACTACATTTCTAACTGGAAAAAAATAACAATTGCCACAAGTACCACAAATGAAAGGATACAGAAAATTAAAGCCTAGAATTAAGACCTACTGCTCTGGTAGATATTTAGCTGTAGGGACATTGTCACGCAGTTCTGCAAGTCATCAAAAGTAGGCATCTTGAAGAGAGATGGGAACACCCACTGAGGAGCTGACTGTTTAAGGAGTGGCATACATTTTTGGAACTGACATTATGCATTCAATAGGGAGTGGGGAAACATGCTGACTTGAACTGAACACACACACACAAAAAGGAAAGCGGAAAAGAATATTATTGTAAAAAAAAAAATGTAATAACAAATTATTAAGAAATTAACTATGAGATTACATTTCATTAAAAAGAAAAAGAACCAGAGACAACAAAACAAGGCCTACAATGTGCATGAGAATCAGATATTAGAATATACAGGCATGTGTTTGTAGTGCATTTTTTTTAAATGGAAACATTTTAATTCATATTAAATACAGGAAATAAAAGTATCCTTTGTAGAAGCATAAGCCTTTTTGCATTTTAGTGACATTCCACAGAAATGAATGAGGAAAATCAAACTCAGAGAGGGCACACTTGCAACTTATCTGACAAAACAGACAGTATGTTGAGAAGCTGGATTTTATACTCGCAGTTCTGAGTCTTTTTAAAGTACATGTTGCTACAAGATTGCACAACTTAAGACACAGGGAAGTGTTTCTTACTGCACTTTGAAGGCTGTGATCAAAACCTTCTAATACTTTTGAAGAAAACCTGATTTCCTTTACAGGTCATATGACCCATTTTTATGATGTGAGAATTTTAACACATGCCACCTTCTGCCATTTTTAAAGAGACTGCTTTCTCATAAATTTAGCTTCAGCACACAGACTACTAAAAATCCATGGTTTTTGTTACAGTTAAATTCTGCAGCAATTCTGTCATACCGGACTTTCAATTAATTTTGGTATAAACAATCTCAAAATCATTGATTCGAAGCAATATGACAAAATAACCTGACATCTATTCCTGATAGATAATATTCATGTCTGCTGTATACAACACAACTTTTCAGAGGGAAATTGTAACTGAGGATCTGTGCTGTATAATATGAAAGCTAAAATGCACGTGTGGAACAGTAGGAGAGAATCAAAAATGACTAAACATTTTGGGAGTACTCTCAGGCCACACTTCACTCGTTCTTTGTTCCAATAATGGCCTAATATACAATAGCAAACTCAACATGCAGTATTATGAAATGCAACACTGCCACCTCTAAGAAGTTTGTGCTAGTTATCTTGTTACACAGGACCTGTGGAGAGCTAATGCTTTTGCGATGGTGTGTGAAATGTCAATTAAATTTGTCTGCTATCAAAATGTTCAAGAGACAGCAACTTTTTGTACATCCTCATAGTCTCAGAAACAATGAGCTTTGAGTTTTGTCCAAAAATTGTTAATAAACCCATTGGTACCTTATGGTTTTAAATCAGAAGCGTCTTGTGTAACTGGGAAAATTTCATAGTAACGACATACAAGTTGACTGCAAAATACCTTCTGTCAGTGGAGACTTTTTAGTTTAAACATTTTATTACATTGAAAGCTTCACCTACTCTAGAGAATTCTTTTTTGTGTACCTGCTGTTTATGCATCAAAAGAAATTAAAATTAATGGTTCTGACTTTTGGTGGCAACAGCATGTCTGGGAAACCAGAATAACGTATGGTGAGATTACCTATAGAACAAATGTTCCAAACTTCAACAGAAATATATGGAAATTTAAAAAGTCAAAATACCAGCCAACATGGAGAAAACACAGATTATGAGAATAGCACTGATGAAGAGATGAGAGGTAATTTCAGAGACACTAAGTGGAAAACTTTGCCAAAACAAATGTTAGTTATATGAGGTATGGGAGTACAGACTAATAAAAACAAAAGACAAAATGTATTATACAAATGCCAAAGAAAAACACATTTCTGGATTTTGTGGGGCTGTTGTTGAAAGACAAACATTAATATTTCCTCATAGAAAAGAGAAATAAAGTACAGCTATCTTCAAACCTATAGATATCTTTGTGATGGCTGCTATCATGGATCAGAATGCCCCTTTTCCTTTATGGCATCATTTAATGCAGCAATTTATCTGCCAGGCAGACTTTGAGCCCTATGGAGGGATACACCTAAAACAGGAATGGCAGACCTCTGTAAAAAAGAACTTGGCTCACACAATACCCCTATGCATAATCCTCTCTTTGTAAAAATAAATTTTTAAGAATCTTTCTAACTTGCACTCTTCTTGTAGCATCATGAGTATCTGTATGTGCCCAATGAAGTTTTGGCTAGTATGTTATTTTAAATGTTTCTGTAGAACTACATAGAGTAATCCTGCATATATTTTTAATTACACTAAAAAGAGAAAAGAATTTCTAGGTCAAATGTATGGGGCATTTTTTTCTTTTTGTATAGCAGGCAGAATCCTGTAAATCACCCAAAAAGCATAATTCTACTACATACGCCACTAAGTTTTCTGGAAGATTAAAATAAACACACCTTTGCATTTCTGTTTAATTTTACCTTGACAATAATCGTAGTGTTCCATTAGCAATATCTGTATACGACAGATTTAAATAGAGAAGAGCTCTGCAGCCTTCTGATATGAGTCTCATGGATTCATCCTGAATAATAATAAAAAATAATTACAGAAGTACATTCAAATTTTATTTGTACTACAATGTCTTATATTTTTATGCAGAGTAACAAGGGGAAAAAATCAGCAAGTGTCTTTTAAATCATAGAATCGTAGAATGGTTTGGGTTGGAAGGGACCCTAAAGATCATCTAGTTCCAACTCCACTGTCATGAAGAGGGACACCTCCCACTAGACCAGGTTGTGCAAGGCCCCATCCAACCTGGTTTTGAACACCTGCAGTGCTGGGGCATCCACAGCCTTCCTGGGCAACCTGTTCCAGGGTCTCATCATCCTTACAGTGAAGAACTTCTTCCTTAGAACTAATCGAAATCTACCCTCTTCCACTTTGAACCCATTAACCCTGGTGGTATCCCTACCAGCCCTTGTAAAGAGTGCCTCCTCAATTTTCTTGTAGGCACCCTTCACATACTGGAAGGCTGCAAGAAGGTCCCCCTGGAGCCTTCTCTTCTCCATGCTAAACAACCCCACTTCCCTCAGCCTGTCCTTGTAGGAGAGGTGTTCCAGCCTTCCAGTCATCTTCATGGCCTTTCTCTGGAACAGGTCCATGCCCTTCTTGTGTTGGGGGCTCCAGAGCTGGATGCAGTACTCTGGGGGCTCTCACAAGAGTGGAATAGAGGGACAAAGTCATCTCCCTTTACCTGCTGGCCACACTACTCTTGATGCAGCCCAGGATTCAGTTGGCTTTCTGGGCTGCAGTCGCACCTTGTTGACTTGTGTTGAGCTTTTTATCAACCAGCACCCCCAAGTCTTTCTCCTCAGGACTGCTCCCAATCCATTCTCCACCCAGCCTGTATTTGTGCTTGGAATTGCCGCAACCAAGGTGCAGGACTTTGCATTTGGCTTTGTTGAACTTCACGAGGTTGCCATGGGCCTACCTCTCAAGCCTGTCAAAGTCCCTCTGGAGGACACCCCTCCTCTCCAGGGTTAATTATTGTAATTATAATGGTTATTATCATCAACATTAACATTTTTATACACTGCAGCCACTTTCTTTGGAAGCTTTGAAGTAGACTACTGAGAGACACACATGATGCTACCATTACTCACTTGATGGCAATTGTAACATTTGAATTCAAGGAACCAATATAAGCTACATAGTCCTACAGAGCACAGGGGACTTTTCACATGATTGAAGGTTAGCACATTTACATGTCTTGCTAAACCAAGATTCTTACTAGCCAATCCTGGTACCTAAAACCACTGGTGAATTTTCTCCATAAACTCTGGGACATTTCTCTCTCTAGTAATAGAATTTATAAAATGTTCCCTGCTTATTGAGTCTATCTCAAATATATGAACACAAACACTTGTAGCATGGGCATCAACCAGTAGGGACTGAAGTCCACGTACATGTGCAGAGCTGTGATTTCATTGGGATTCCAGAGCAGCAAAGGGGTAGCACACATAACTGGAGGGCTCCAATGAATGGTTACAGAATATTTAGGAAAGACAGCCCAGGACAGTGAGGACAGGCTGTACTCTTTGCAAAGATCTGCCTAAATGGACAAATACATAATGGTGATTGCATACTAGACACCTTTCAAATAAAGGTTCTCATAAATATCCAGAAATTTAGTGAGAAATTTTTAGACCCCAAGCATACTACTGAATGAAAGAATAAAGAAACTTGGAACAATATAAGATTAAAATGTATTGTTGTTGAGAACTCCAAATTTAAAATAACAGAAAAACCCTCCCCTTAGACTGGTGAAGTTCTGAAGTCTGATTATTAACATTAATTGAGATTGAGTACATCATATATTTCAAATATATCATTTGGCACTGTAGAAAACAAATCAGAACTTCACTGAGTATCTCTGAATCCTACTGAACTCCATTTTCAAAGTATTTAAGAACACAAGTCTCTACTTTTCATCAGTAAGGTTTGTGCACACAAATAACTACAGCACTTTAAAAAGTCTTCTTTCTCAGTATAAATTAACATCTGTGGAAAAAGTCTGTGGTACTTACATTTACTCCCTGGCATTCAGAGAGATTTAAGTCTTGTAAATTCTTACATTCACCTAAAAGAAAAAAAACAAGTTGCATTAAAGGTGAAGAGTTCAAATTCTCAGTGTATGGCACAAATATAAGAATTTCTAGAACAGATTCAGTCCACCTGTACCAGGGAGGTCATTATCCTTCCTGAAACCATGGCCACAGCAGATTACTGAGAAGAAAGCACAAAAACCTGAAAGTAGAATACAAAGTTGGAGTAAGGTGTCCAGAGGAAATGTCTCCTTACACTTCATCAACTGATGAGTGGTTTAGGAACAAACCTGTTTTCAGTCTTAGGTTACCAAAGGACCAGAAAGCTACCTAATAAAGCAATTTGGTGTTAGTAAATACCAGAATAAAGTTTTCCACCAGGCTTATCTGTCCCTCTCACCCATATATTATGACATCAATATCTAATTGTATACATGAACAATTTTTTCCTTCTGAAAGTACAGGTGCAGTATTCAAAGCAATTGTAGAAAAAGCCCTGCTTATCTTCTGCAGGTATGGAATTCCAGAGGATTTAGCCACCTGAGACAGTCTTTTCCGTGTGCACAGAATCTATACTTTTTAGATCGTCTCCTATTGCAGAGATCGTTGTAATTCTAACAAAATAATGAAAAATAGTTGTCTAACACTAGAAACAACACTTATATAACTCTTCAGCCACTCCTGCCAAATTTTGAGACTATGCTCCAAGGCAAAGATGCAAAACCTCCTCTTAAACATAGTAATACTTTTTGCCTTACTCTACGCCTCAAAAATATCTAATTTATCTAAACTGGAATTAAAAAAAAATAGGCCTGATAAAGATACATGTACAGAAAATACAGTCCAAAAGTTTTCAATTACAATCAAACATTAGTAGAACAACAGGTCTGTATATTCTTTTTTACAGGGACTGTGACTTCACTGTTATCCTGCAATACTGTCTAATTCAGTGCTTCCTTGAAGAGTAGGACAATACTGAGAGGGACTGCACAACTCAGAAGAACCTAATCAATTAAAATCAACCTTAAGGCTGCTAAGCCAAAGTAATTATATGCCTCTTAAACATTTGGATGGTGTTTTTTTGGGTTTGGGGTTTTTTTTCCCCCTAGCACTAAATGAGACACAGTTATAATTTTACATATGAACCTGTACATGCTACTGAAAGCAGCTGCTCATTTTGGTATTATAGCTGGGTATAATTCACTTAGCAGACAGACTGTAAAATCAGTTAAAAAATCTCATTCACACCCAGGAGATGGAAAGGAGGAGGAAACAGTATTTCCATAATTACTTTTTACCTCTCCTCTCCCCAAGCTCTCTTTTATTACTTCCAATCTCTCCTGGATAGCAATAGGTATCACATTCCCAGAATGGTGAACAGTTCAAAACACCACTAAGGATCTCAATTATGATCCAAGTTATTAAAACACATGATCAATTTACACTAACTAGCATATACCTGCCAAAGAATAACAAGCAAAATTTCATTTTTCATGTAAGGGATAAAGTCATCAATGCAAACACTCACACTGTGAACTAACAGAATCTAAATGCAGACAAACAAGTGGCAACTACAGGAACATAATAGAGAAACCAATCAATGGGTTTTCAAAGTTAATACTGACAACTGGCCACATTAGAGGGAAGCATTCACACACACAGACAGGACTGCTCCATCTATTTAATGAATGAGAACTGCACAAATACTGTGAACACCCTGAAGTCAGGATGTGGTTTCAACTGATCTACCAATTTCTTTTAAAATGAAAAATTTCTTTCCTTTGTAAATAATTTTATCTGATATTAATTGATTTATTATGCCACCTTTCATCCAGATAAAAACAAGTTTTTGAACCGCAAACAACAGTGTTTTAGAAACAGAACATCTGTGAAATGATCTGCACTCAAGACTGAGATTCAATACCACCCCAGGTGCTAAGATCAAAATGGACTGACCATAATGCAAAGATGTTCACAGTCATAGAGAAAAAGTAACAAAGTAGTTCAGCTAAACAGTGAAGAACTAAAAGTTTCAGAAGGAATGATTACTGACTAGCAAAAGGAGGAAGTTCGTGAGATACAAAAAAGTTATAAAATACAAAACCCTGAGGGGCTAAAATGTTTCCAAGGATATACAACCTTCTGGCAAAACTTCACTGAAAATTAAGGAAAAGGGCAATGCACAGCAGTACTACAGGCAAATCAGGAAGAAACATAGGCAAAAAAAAAAATTACTAAAAATACTGGGACAATTTTGAACACAGTTGCAGGGAGCAGTCCCTGTCTTCTCCTAGTAATAATTCCTAATGACTGTGTCTGGTTGTCTTGGAAAGGCAAAAGCTCCTGGCTTACCCCTCTGTACTCTCTCTCCTCAGGTGGCTGGACCTGAAAGTGGTTTGAAGCGAGCCACAGTCAGGAGCTGCAAGTTCTCTTTGCACTCTGCCTACACTCAGATGACATATAATTTCACTGGCTCTTGCAAAAGGTTATTTTTGTGTCCTTCTCAGAGCAGTCCAGTCAACTTTGTCTACCTGACATAGGCCATGAAAGACAGTTACTAATAGCAGGACTAGTTATGATAAATCTGAGTTCAATATGAAAACAAGTCCACACTTGAGTGCAGCCTAAAACTGCGGGTTTGATAAGCACTGGATAACTTTCCCTGCTCTGGCTCTGTATGTGTTCTGGTGGGTCAACACACCACCTTTAAGCTTCACTTCCAAGCTCATCTTCCAAGATGAACTTAAATACCAGGAAGGTTCAGCCTGATTCCATTTTCATGAACGCATGAGAACCTTCTCACAATGATCAGTTAGAAATTGGTCCATATAGTTTGCCATGTTTAATCAAAACAAACAGCAGTAGAACAGAGACGGTGAGAACAACCAAAAAAGATAGGACATTAAATCTTCAAAGTGTTTCTGAAGCTCCAAGGCATGTGATGATCGAGTATTTGGCTGAATGTTGCATACAATGTACAAACTTCCATAAAAATGTCTGTTTCATCTGTTCTAATGTTTTACTCTTCTTCCAACACAGGGATCCCACACACCCCAGCTGTGCCTCCTCAGATCTGTACAACACTGATTTAGACTATTCAAAAATCTCAACTGTTTCAGCTGTTACAGAAAATAACTGGGGCCAGTTAAATGTCAGGATGCAAGTAGCTACAATTATACTATTAATTCTTCTTTGTAAAGCATCTGACTGTAGGAAGACAAGGAATAGGAGTCAGAGAAACAATGAAAGGGAAAGAATCTTAAGGAAAACATCTAGCACCGTTAAGCGCAATGCCCAAGGCCTGCCATGTGAAATATATACTTATCTTCATGAGAAATATCTAGATTGTCAGGAAAGAAAATTGATTTTTGTGGCACCTGACTGGCCAGACGACTTAAAACACATGCTGCTAGCAAGAAACAGGATTCGCAAACTGAAGAATAATATGTTTTCCAAGTATAAAGTATTGAAAAGTCTGGATTTACAACAAAATGATATATCAAAAATTGAAAGTGAAGCTTTTTTTGGTTTGAACAAACTTACAACACTCTTACTTCAGCATAACCAAATTAAGAGTTTATCTGAGGAGATTTTTATTTACACGCCCAGTCTAAACTACCTACGTCTTTATGATAATCCCTGGCATTGCAACTGTGAACTAGAAACTCTTGTTACAATGATACAGGTTCCAACAAACAGGAATTTAGGAAATTATGCCAAGTGTGTGCACCCAATAGAACTGAAAAATCAAAAGCTAAAGCAGATAAAAGCTGAACAGCTATGTAGTGACGAAGACAGGCAGGACCCCCAAAACATCAAACAGAAGCCTGAAGCTCTCAAACCAGAATCTGATTCCTCTTTGTGCCACATGTATGTGTTTCCTGTACCAACTCTGAACTGCAGAAGAAAAGGTTTGTATCTGTCCTTATTAATGATTTTAATATTAATGATTTTAATATTCTTGCTCCCTTACTACACATATTCACATATTGTCTGTAGCAAATTAATATAGTACTAGTACTCTCTTTACTTTAAATAATACTGCTTACTGGTTTATCTCTTAACGACAAGCAACAAGCAGGAACTCTTTCTGTATTTTGCCTCTACCCTGCAGCTCCATTTCCACAGATATTCTTTAGTTCTCTAGCATAAGATATTCAATAAAAATCAACAGGAATAAAATTAATTGCATACTTCAGTTACTTAGGGACCAGCACCTCACTGGTCTGATTTTACAACTATAAACATCCTATTCAGTCAGATTACAGCTGTGCTGAAATTGTTGTACTGACAGAGAAAGGCACAGTGTCTTTTCTCCTTTCCAGTGTACAAACACAAAGATAGCAGTAAGTTTGACAGAAACAAGCTGTAAAGCAGGACTGGAGCAACCAGCTGTGCTTACAATGCCCAAAGGATTGGGCCTGCAAAGGAGAGACATTGCATCCTCACATTTCTGTTCTACTAAGGGAAGAAATTGTATGGGTTTGTTTATAAGAAATACCTCTTCTGTGTTCTTCCTCCAAGCACCAGCAAACATTTCAAAGTTGAAGGTCCTTCAAGAAATGTTTTTTAGACACTTGGACCCATTCCATTCCTAAATTCTTCTCAGGCTCCTAAAAGTCATGGTTAAGCCTTTAAGGGTAAACCAGCAGGAGCATATATCAACACAAAAGTGCACATTTGTTTGTGCTTTACATTTCCCATATTTTATCCCATGATGAAACAAAGCAAACGACAAAACAATTCAGAAGAGAGTCATTCTTTAACATCACAAATCTGAAATTGAAAGCGTTACTAGAAGCAGTCAAAACAGGGAGGATTTTCCCATAGCTTTCACCAAGCCTGCAAGACTGGATCATCACTGTATGTTTTATCTTCTAGTATCTTGCAATGTGTTTGCTAAACTTCTATTTCCTTTAACAGTGATTTAATTTATGTAACAACTCTGTGTGCCCTTAGTCTTGTACCTTAGTGACAGAGACAAGCTCAGATGTTAGTATAAGGAGACAATACCTAAATACAAAGAAATCATTAT